GTTTCTACTTGGCTATATGAATCTATAATAGTCATGTTGATGATGATATGTAGTGTGTAGGATGACTTAAAGACGATAATGGTTATTCTTATATGCTTATAGAATGTCTAGTAATATGTGTTAAGGTGAAGTATATGGTGTCTTATTTTGGTTGACTTGTGTCCCTTACATGATGCTTATGTGAATATGTGATGTCTTGACTTAGGAACCTAAAGGGTCTTAGTCTTGAATAAATGATATAGGTGAGACCTTGCATGATGATACAAAGGTCATTTATGTGGAACCTTGAACCAAGTGGTAAGGTTATAAATCGTGAAGTAGTTAGCCGTAATGGTATCCTTTATGTAATGAGTGATGGACTTAAGGTTGATTGGCTGGAACGACATCATATCATACCTTAGGAAAGTTGTGATGAGCTTCTTGTCGGCATAGTGAGATATGCCCTAGTGCACCTTGCTTTGGTTGGTTGAATGTAATTGGTTCATGAACTAGATATGTGACCCATTTATATAAACCTTAATGTGAATTACTCTATGAGAACGAAGGCTAGCACCGAGTAATTATATTATGGGAAGTATCTCTACTTGAGATGAGACTAGAGTACAATGTACCTCTACTTGAGAATGAGATTAGAGTACATAAAATCCCTTCATAGTCCTTAACAATGTGCCTACATGGGATTTGTCCTAGTTCTTCCTTTGGCAAATAGAACACCCTCATCGGAGTAGGTTAGAACTCAAGATTCCATGAGTTGCTAACATGGTCTATGTCGGTTAATGACTATTCTCATAATGTGGGATACTTACTAGCATTTGAGAAGTTCTATGAAGTTTAGGTGGTTGTATGGGACGTTATCTAGACATTACACAATAGGCTTTAAAGATGTTATTTGGAGTCCCTAGGTCTTGTATAAGACCATTACTTCAATGTCCTTTATGTGATGTATGTCTCTTAATTAACTAATGAATATAATGACTCAAGTTAATAAAGTATGTTAAATGAGATAGTACTTATCTAGAGTAATTAAGGGTTGTCTAGTTAAGGTGTGAGGGGGGCATATGAATGGTCACTTCTTATCTTACCTAGATAAGTCTTTAGAATGACTCTAGTTAAGGAAGTTGGTTTATTATGTGGATATGATCTAAGCCTTAGGTAATCTTAAGAATTATTTAGGTAATCTTGAAGAGGTCACTATGGACGTTATCTTCTTGATTTACTTAAGTAAGTCTTTTGATAGCCTTTGGAAGGAGAATTTCCTATCACCTGTATACTAATGTGTTAAATGAGAATGACTCTATCTTAGGGAGTCTATAGGATCTCTTCAAGTGTGTGTGTAAGGAATTGTATGGGTGGTTGCTTCACAACTCACTCAAGTGAACCTTAGAGTCACCGTGGTAGGAAAATCTCATGTTCTTATGTTGATATCTCTTAAATGTGCATGTGACCCACTATAAGAAATCTTGAGAGTTGTTTAGGCGCATCTAGAGATGGTGTATGGGCGGTCTATCTTTGTGGGACTTAAGTGAATCTTAGGATAGAGTTGAGTGAGAAGATTACATACTAAAGGGGGTTTAAAGTGAAGTGAAGGAACTTCACTGCAACAGTGAATTGAGTTCACTGTACAGTGAAGTGACTTCACTGTAATGTTGGCTAAAAAATGTGAATTTTTACCTAAATGATTTCTTATGTGTTTCTAAGTTGTTAAATGTTGTTCTTATGATTATAGTATGACGTTTTAATCGAAAATCATGAAAAGCATGCTTATTACTAAATTTCCCTTTTTCATGGTTTTTGCATGGCTTCCATACTTAGTACATATAATCTGCTAACCCCTTCTTTTACTTTTTGACTAAAGTGTAGGGAAATGGAATCTTGATGTGACATGAAGGATGGATAGGTTTCTAAGGGTTGAAGATGAAGTATTGGTGAGTCCTCATCGATTCGAGGACAATAGTCACATGTTCCTTTATGTCTTAAGTCTTTATTTTATGTCTTATATGGGATTAGTCCCAAGTGTTGTAAACTCTAAAGTCTAGATGGTTCAATGAGATGTTGTATAGTTCTAATGTTTTAAATCAAAGTTTTACGCTTGCGTATTATTTATGAAAGAGTTCTTCGTGTGTGAAGAAAGTTTTAAATTTTTACTCATTTTAGTTATGCTTATTATGCAATGAATGATATGAGAGGCATAGATGAGATTTCTTGAAGTCTCATTTTCCGTGTGACCTCGCAAGGATACTTTAACTTCTGGGGTGTACTTGTGGGATGTGACACCCCACCCCTACCATTTTTTTAATTTTTTTATTTTGTTTAAATTTCTTTTATAAAAGTATTTCATTTTTTTTACTTCATCTCCTCCCCCTCCTCAAATACTAATTTAGATATTATTTTATTTTCTTAAAAAAATAATACTACCCATCCCACTTAACCATCTGCTTTCAATTTCTTTTTTTCAGTGTTTAGATGTATGTACATATTGAAAATATTTTACTTGCCGCCAAAAGACTTGTTATTTTTTTAGTTATTTATGTTTTATTCGGTACACTAGTGAATTTTTTTTTCTTAAAATTATATATATACGTGCATTAACACAAAATGAGAAAAACGTAAAAAAAAAATAGGAGCTGAGGATTAAAAAGGATGGGGTAGATTTTTATTGTTTTAAAACAAAATAATATCAATTTCGATTGGGTTGGGGGGGGGGGGGAGGGTGAATGGGTGATCTTTTTTTTTTTTTGGAGGGGGAGGGGGGGGGGGATGAAGTATGAAATTTTAAAAAATATTTTATAAATGACTTTTTTTTTAAAAAAAAAGGATGGGGGTTGTCCGGAAGGGGGGGGGGGTTGGGAGTACGTGGAGGAGGTGGTGGAGTGGGGTAAGAAAAATAATTTAATTTTTTATATGGATAGTAAAATTTAAATCTTTAATTTTTAATTAATATTAATATTAATATTTTATTATTTAATTTTTATCTAGGTAAAATATTTTATCTAGAATGTCATGTGTAAAGGTTTTTTCAAATAAAAGAGAGAGTGTATTACACACACCACTAAGGTGTGTTTCTCAAACTAAAAAGTAATAATTTAGATATGAAACTCACATTTTCAATAGTTTAAGTATGCAACTCAAAAAAAGTGAATAGTTTAGGTGTATTTTTGACACTTGTCTCTATACTTTATGTAATTATTTGACATAAAATAATAATACTCTATTTTTATATAAGAGCCAGTAGTAAAACTCTCTTAATTTACTAAAACGGGGGAATAAAAAGTAAAATTTACTTTATGTTTAAACTTGATTTGAACTTGAAGGAAAAATAGTTGTTGAAAACTATTACTCATTTGAAATGATCCTTAATATGTGTAGTATTTCATGAAAATGTTGGTAATATATTATAACCCATATTTTACATTTTTGTTGGGTAAGATGTTATTGTCTCAATCCCCCAGAAAACAAACAAAAGCAACAAATATCATAAACCACTCCTCGAAAGTTTGAACCTAATCAAATATATCATATCTTATGAAAAGACAGACAAAAGAAAGTAATCTTGATATAGAAACCCTTTAATTAAATCTAAAATTTCAAATGAAAAAACAAAAGGGACAAGCACAAAAGAAGGCCTATTGTCTTTGTGTCCCCTAACCCTATTTACAATATAGTTAATTATTATTTTATGGACATTCCTAATGGCTAATAACTGTCTCAATTCATATCCTTTTTAGTATTTAATTAACACACTATTATAGTACTTATTTTACTATACGGGTGTGTTTGGTACAGAGGAAAATGTTTTCTATGGAAAATGTTTTTCTAGAAAATATTTTTATGGAAAATAAGTAGATTTTGGACTTGTTTTCTCATGTTTGGTTGGTGAGTACAAAATAATTTTTGAAAATGATTTTTAGCGTTAGATTTATGAATGAATTTTTTTTAGAGACATCTTTCATTTTTACTAGAGTAAACAAAAATTTATGAAATTGAAAATATGTTTTAAAATCAAAATTATTATTTTTTTGGGATGGCGGTGGCGTAGTGGGTGGGGGTGGGGGGAAGGGGGAGGAGTGAAACAATAAAAATTTGAAGTTGATAGTATTTTTAAAAAACAAAATTAATTTTTTAGGGGGTTTGCGATTGGGATGGGGGTTAGGAGTTTAAAAAATAAAATTTGAAGTTAAAAATATTTTTAAAAATCAAAATTAAATTTTTTGAGATAAGGCGGGGTTGGGGGGGCTGGCGGGGGGGGGGGGTGGGGGATCAGAGATCGGGTGAAAAATAAAATTTTTAAAGTGAAATATTTTTAAAAAATTGATTTTTTTTCCCAAAAAAATATAATTTGAAATTGGAGGAGAGTTTTGGAAAATATTATCCTTAACTTTTGAAGGGAAATCATTTTCCTTAATTTTGAGAAAAATGAATTGATTTGGAAAACATTTTCCAAAACTTTTGTCCCAAATGTTTTCCTTCATACCAAACACACTCTATATCTTTACCATTTTTGTAACTTTAAACTGATTATCTAATTAGATGAGCACAAGAGACAAAAAGTACGGTTATACTCCCGCCGTCTCATTTTATATGTCGGATTTAAAGAGTCCAACAAGTCTATCTATATTTGACCGTAGATTTTTTATAGATCTTTTAAGCATTTTGAATTATCAATTATTATGACTCATAGTACTTTTTATCTAGTTTACAAATATATAAATTTCATTTAAAAAATAAAAAATTTCATTTGCAAATTTGCGGTCAAACTTAAATTGTTTGACTTTCAAAACATAAAGGGGTCATATAAATTGGGACAAAGGAAGTATGTGACATCCGCGTTCTTCAATTTTAACTATGTATAAATACACAATTAAAGTTGCATAAAGTTAAATAGATTGGCATAAGCATCTTACATGGCGTTTTATATGGAAGCTCATGCCTACATAACGTTTTGTGTGTATTATGCAAGTAGGATATGTATGTTTACTTATTCAACTTTATAAGAGTTTAAATACTTACTAATACACAACAAAAATTTAAAAGTATAAATACAAGCTGAAATCAAATTAAACGAAACATTTATAGACCTAATTTACGTGATGGATTTCAATAATAATAATTTATAAAGAACAAAAAAGAAAGGCAAGTACAAAATATTGACACACACAAAAAAAATCATTTCTTACTCTTCTTATCTTTTCCATTGGCAAAGAATGATCCTAAACCAAAGAGATTAGCGGTAGCTTTTGGAATAAAAGTATAAGGTGCTACATTCAAAACAGGATTAATGCAAATCCCATTACTATAATTCTTTCTCAATGGAGGCTTTTGTGATGCTGATGAGTATAAACTAACTGCAGAAGAAGGATTCATTATATTCTTCTTATGTTTCTGATTTTCTTTAACTGAAAAACTCTTTGATCCAGTTGAATTACTGCGTTGCAACGACCAAAATGAACTTTTCTTATTTCCATGAAGACTAGTACTTCTCCTAATACGCCAAAACGACTTGTTTTGATTATCATCAACACTAATGTGTTTCGAGATTACATTTTGATTTGCAATTGGTGGAGCTGGAATAGGAGGAGAATTAGATAATGTGACAAGTTTTTGTTTTTGTTGTAGTTGAAGAGGACGAATTAATCCATTTAAGAAGAGTTCATCTGCTGAACAAGTTTCTGTATTAGCGATATTGGTGCTAATACAGAAATCGAATTCAGGATTTGAATCTGATTGATAATGTTGCAAATCTATGACTTGTTCATCTGATGAGAAAGAGATTCTTGGACTTGTAATTTCAAAAATCATATCAATTGCCATGTTTGTTTAGTTAGAGTAAATTGGAAGGATATAAAAGGCTAAATCTTTGGGATTGTTGTTGTAGCTAGTAAGAAGACAATAACATTTAAATGTGAAGTTGGGATTAAAAGAAAAAATTTAAAGGATGGTCACAAGTCAAAAGAAGAAAGGATAGACATATGGTCTGGTTTCTACTTTCTTGGTGTCTTTTTTTTTTTAATACCCCAAATTATAATTTCGACTAAATTTAAATAGCACATGGTAATATTTATTCAGTGGCTATGCTCCTAATAATTTTTTTTTTATACCCAAGGTTCATACTGAAGACCCCTCGTTAATGGTAAAATAATCTCCTCATACTTTTTTGGTGTATTAGTACTTCCTCTGTCTCACTTTTATATAATTTACTTTCTTTTTTAAGCAGTCCAAAATGGATGATAAATTTCTATATCAATTAACAATTTAATTTAAAAATATCAATTTTACCTCAAAAATGTAACTTATAATCACGCAAACACTTATTTACTTATTTTAAATCACAAAATTTTTAAAATCTTTAATTTTTTCTTAAATTTCATACTAAATCAAATTAACTCGTATAAAAATGGGACAAAGGAAGTACTAGCCAGGATCACTAATGATTTATATGTCAAAAAACTGTGAATTTAAAGATGAAAGGCAAGTTTGGTCCCTGTACAATAAGTGCACATGCAGAGGAAGTTAAGATGTACAACAGCTTTATAAGTTTTACCTTACAACGACAAAAAATACTTTTACTTTTGACCAATTAGTAACTGAATTTTACTTTATACCAGGTATATCATTCTTTTACTGTTATCTTTGGTGTACAACTTAGGTACAGTAATTATTTTGGTTTGCAAGAATGTACTCAAGAGATGACAATTTTACAACATAATAGACTATAGTCTATACAACTAATCATGCATATTTATGCTACATTTTACTTTATTATGTCACATTTTGTTTTGTGAATTTAAAACGTTCAAGCTTACATTTTTTTTGTTTAGAATGCCGAATTTTAATGGAGAGATTGTACCATTTGAGTCGTTTATTGTCCATGTTGATGTTGTTATCAAATAAATACGGAGACATCAATATATAAACCAACACACCAATTGGCAGAACTTTAATCAGAGCAGAGCTAGAAGTTTGGATACGAGTTTGATCAAATTTAACAATTTTTATATAAATAATGTGTGTATATATATTTATTAAGAAGTTTTTCTTAATATATATATATATATATATATATATATATATATATATATATATATATATATATATATATATATATATATATATGAATATTAGGGTTAGAATCAAAATTTTAAAACTTCAAATCATCATTATACAATTTAAAATTCCTTAAAAATAAAATATTGATTTCACACATGAAAATTTTTAGTTCAAGTATAAGCATACAATGAATGCCTACATTATTTCTTTCTTTTGTCTCTTGTATTCTGAGGAAGTTGAGGAATACTTTTGCCACATGCCATCCACTGGTTTGTTGCTATTCAATTACGATAGATATAGACATATAGGAGTTAAGCTTCTATCTTAAAGCATAATCAATCTCCTCTAGTAAATGTTAGCATCTACAAGCATGATTTTTACTGGAAATGATTTTAGTAATGGAGTCAAGAATTTCATATAGGGTGTTCAAAAATGAGCACAACAAAAGCTCTTTTCAAAAGTGAGATTCTAACATGTGAGCACTATGAAATCACTAGACTATAACAACTTGTTATGTTAAGGGTGTCCAAAATATGTTATTTGATTATTTAGTGTATCATTTTATTTGTATATACAATATTTTTTTCGACGAAGGTGTCACGACCCAAAAATAGGTGTCATGGCACTTGTCTTATCCCACCAAGACAAGTCAGCCTAAAACCCAATATCTAACAAAGTGCGGAAGTAAATGACAATCCAACAACAATTTCTAGTATGAAACCAAGTCATATTAATTCAATCCCCAAAACCAGGTTGTCACGTGCACAAGCCTCTAATGTAAACATTTGAATTGAAACAAAATAGAAAAGAGGAAAAAGAAGGAGAAGAGTCTAACATGAAGTTG